CCAAGTTTACATTTACTCCAGCGTTATATACTGTTCTCTTTCACTTCTTGTAAGATATGGTTTACTGTTAGTTTTTTAAAGCTTACATGGTGGGAACCCTGAGAGACTGGCTTATAGGACATGTTTTTACACTTGTCATTTCTGGTGTTACGCTCTGTGTGAATGGAGCTGTCCCTGAGTACGTTGGTTGGTTGGTTGGTTGGTTGGTTGGTTGGTTGGTTGGTTGGTTGGTTGGTTGGTTGGTTTTGAGCTTAAAAAACTAACTTTAGTCTTTCTTGAAAAGCAGACCTGCTTCTATCTTGACTTTTTGGGAGTTGAGTTTACTTGACCTACATAAAGAGTATTCTTTATAAATCTTGACAATTTGTACCCATAGTGTATTTCCTGTGTCTCTGTATGACTTGTGGTCCCTAACTTGTAATGAGCCTAGGGGTCACTTTGATACTGTCCACAACAATTTGTTCTTTTGCTGTGTCTAGAGTTTGGTTTTGTCCATCACATCCCTATCATGATGGTGATGTGTAAGCTTTCTTTACATGTGGGATGTTTTCAGTTGCTATTTCTTTCCATCTTTCTTTCTCTTCTGCCTTTCATCCTGAATGACCCATAAGTGCATCTTTGTGTGCCTGCTCCTGCCCTGTAGCAGTGGGTTTGTTTTTCTTCCTCTTTCTCTGTTTGTCTGGGGAGGTTGTTTAAATGGCCTCTTTCAGGTTCCCTAGTTTCACTGTCTCAGCTCTGCTGAGTAGCTTCTGGGGATATTTCACAGCAGTGATTTTACTTTTGCTTCTTTTGCAAGTGTAACATCTGAGTCCTCTTACCTTTGCCTACTTTTCCTCTACAAGAATGGCTCATTGAAAATGCTAGAGTTTAGATAACATACCAAAGCAAGCATGAATTCTGAGAGTTTCACGTACAAGAAAGCTGCAGTTGTTGGTATTTGTCTTCCATTTCTCTTACAATCATTAAATTAAGCTAAATCCACAGACTGTGCCCTTCATGTTTTCTAGCTGGCACCATGTGTGTTTATGTATTTCTATCTTACTTTTAGTTTTTTCTGTCCTTCTAGAAGGCAACGTGCTGTGTCCTTGTAGCCTAGTTGTGACCAGTGGTTGGCCAGAGGCTCTGTGCTCAGGACCAGTTTTAATATGATTTCCCTGTTGGTATGCAGTACGGAATGCAGAGTGGCCCATTTTCATGTCAGTCTTGGCATTTCATTCCTGCTGGTATCCCTCGGAGTCTCCTCTGCATAGACTCACTGTCCGGCAAGTAATCATAAGAGCCTATTAGGGGATTGCCAGACTCATTTCTGGGCTCTATTCTGTTCTCCTCTATTGAGCTGATGTGTTGCTTGCCTCACTGGAGGTGGCGGTATCTGGCTTGCTGATTTGCTGTTCTTCCTCATTCGCTCCCAATTGAAATCTTTACTGTGGTTGATATTGCTGCTGGCATGGGGTACTTTACCCTTTATTCCAGAATAAGTGAGGCTTCTCCGCAGCAGAGCTATGGGTTTTTCATACTTGGACTGAGGAGGAGTGATGGCATCCCCAGGCAAAAATGCCACAGACTCTTCTTACCTACAATTTAGCTATTTTTCATGACTTATTTTATTGTATTTTCATTTTATTGTGTGGCTTGAATCCATCCTAAAACTACTTACATGGTGTCTTTGAGCCATTTTATTTTTGTTCTGTGTAAGGACACTTTTCTCAGTCATTAAAAAACATCATCTTTACTTACTATTTTATGTTTCTTAAAATTTATATGATTTTGTACATTTTTTCCTGTAAGCATATGTAAAGTTTAATGATACTGCTTTATTTCTGCATTATATTGTGTGCACATTCCAGAGTTTATTTATGCTTGTCTTCAAATAATCAGCATTAAAGTTATTTCCTATAGATATAATGCTGCAGTGATGCCAGGAAAACCTTGAACATAAATATTGTGATAGTTTGACAAATAATTGTTAGTAGTAAGTTATTGTCAGAGAAGACATTGAATTCCAATGTTCCTTTTTATTATGATGATTCTTTTAAATTTTTTTTGAAGAGGAGAGGGGAGGGAGGGAGTGTGTGTTTTCCATGGGACAACTTGGAAGAGTCAGATCTCTCCTTCTACCATATGGGTACCAGGGTTTGAACTTAGGTCATCTGTCCTGATGGCAAGCACCTTTATCCTTGGAAACAGTCCACCAGCCAGGGCTTTAGTATTACTTTTAATGAGTCATGTAAAACCTTTCCCCATATTTTCAAGGTTTATATAACAGACCAAATTCACTGGATAGAAAAGTCATGTACACACAACTATGTGTGTGTACACACACAGTACGCACATACAGACATACACACACACACACACACGTGACTACACTTCTAATCCCCTTTCAACTCTCAACTATTGACAGGTTTCAATGGTTCTATTTTTCACCTAGAGAGTTAAAGTTTGAGTCCATAAGCCATGATGCATGGCTTGGTTGTATCATACCTGCCCATGTGATAGTACAAGAGGAAACCAACTAAAACTTCCTTAAGTTGCCTTAAAAACACATAGCCATTCATTCAATTATTTAATATCTATGTATTTTAAAATAGTTTTACAAAGCTGATCTTTAAGGTCGGCTCCATTATAAACACCTAATCTTACATAGAGCAAATGATTTTAACTTTATTTTTCCAGACTTTTCCTGGTGTCTAGACAGTGCTTCAGCCATGATCTTTTCATCAAATCTATTTTTAGCCACCTATAACTGAGTGTCACACCTTCCAACAATTTTTCACAGGGCAAGCATTAGCATTTTTTCTAGCACATTTTATTTAGAATGTGCTTTGTAAATTATTTATTAATCTTCACATGTTTTAGCAAAATGGCTGATAAGGTATTAGCAGTCTTGTTTTAGACAGTTTGGAATGATGGAATGATGGAGATGACAGCTCTGAGGCACAATGCCTCCGATACTTGTGGGAGAGGGTTCTACCCTCATTCTAAGCTCCTCTGCTAAGGGCAGTGGCTACTTAGCATTCCTCTCCTTCTGATGCTGTATGACAGCTTTCTTCTTGCTCATGGGGTTCCTCTAATTCCAGGGTACCTACTTATTTTTTGCTTGATTTTTGTAATGTCAGGAGAAAAAAAAGATGAATTTTTAGTGGTAAGTCTGTTTCTTTTAGATTTTAAATTGAGGTTATAAATACTTTACCTAAATTCCCTGTCCACACTGAAGTATGCTCATGCCTTTCTAGTGATGCCTCTGAGCCTGTCATGCCTCTGTTAGTGCCTCTTCATAGCCAGATATCAGGAGAAGTTTCTGCCTTCCCTGGGGCTCTTAATACTCCCTCACTTCCCGTCTCACTGAGATGGACTCCAAGTTACCTTCTCCATCCATCCGCCCTGGTCAGCAGTGGCTTTCCTGTTAGCCAGTCCCCAGACTTCTCACAGGGCTGTGAGATAGATTCTAGCTCAACACAGACCTTGTGTGGCTGCACTCACATTGAACCCTGGAGCTTTCACATTCTCCTGCCTCCTTTGTAGTCCGAGGGCTTGTTTTGTCCTTTCCACAACATAAGCCTAAACCTGTAGTTTGCTCCCTAAAAAAATGTTAAACTGTCTCACCAACCTTAGTTATAATTATTTAGATTACCTTTAAGGTGATGGAAGGCTTCGCATGATTTGGTTTCTGCCTTCTCTTTAAGAGTCCATATAATTTTTATGATTTTTCCATATAATACCTCTTTGGGTTTTTATTTCTCTTACTGATTGATTGATTGATTGATTCATTCATTCATTCATTCATTCATTCATTCATCAATTGATTGATAGAATAGGATAGGATAGGATAGGATAGGATAGGATAGGATAGGATAGGATAGGATAGGATAGGATAGGATAGGATAGGATAGGATACAATATGATACGATACGATACGATACGAGACTCTTGTTTTCCGGGCTGGCCTGGAATTCACTGTGTGGCCTAGGCTGGTCTTGAACTCAGGGTAGCCCAGCTACTTTAGCCACTTCTGGAATTTAATACGCTTTGAGTCTTCTTATCTCCCTCTGTGTGGAACTTAGAGCCACCCCTCTTGATGACTGTATCTCTCTTCCACAGACAACTCCTCTTACAGAGAAGCTTTTTGGGGTGCTGTACAGCCAAGTTAGACTTTCCTCTTTGACTGTAAACATTTTTTTAAATTTCAAAGTAGCAATGATAACATGAATTTTATCTATTCTGTGGTTTTGTTGATTATCAAATGGAGCTGAGAACAGTAACAAAGGAAAAGGAAAGAGGATGGAGTCCTAGTTTCAGAGTTTAATGTGCGGACATTGCTGCCTTGTGAAAAAAGCACAAATTTTCAGGAATCAAATTGCTTACCAAATTTATAAATTTGGATGTTCCTTGTTTGTGTAGCATAGTGGTTAGTGATAATTGTCAACTTGACACAATTTTGAATCACCAGTGGTACGGTCCTCTGAACATGTTTGTACCAGGATTATTTTAATAATTGTAATTATCTTATTTGAGGTGGGAATACCCACTCATCTGGGGGTGGGACTATTCCCTAGGCAGGGGATCCTGGAGTTTGTAAGTATCAAAAAAAGCAAACTAAGCATGTGTGCATGTGTACGTTCATTGCTCTCTGTGCCTGGTATGAATATATTATGACCAGCTCATTTAGGCTTTTCTGCTAGTCCATGTGTAGATGCTCAGTTGTTATGAGTGAATGGAGCTGTGAATATCAATGTCCATGTCACAGCTATGTGGCCTTGTAATATTATTACAAATGTCTCAAGTGGAAATTAAGCATAAGAAAAGGAAAGACATTAGCTTACTTGTAATTTTAGTCTGGGGAAAAAAAAAACCTGTGGTTTTCCTTAAAAGAAAACATTTTCATTTTTATTTCAGTAAATTTATATTTTAACTGCTCTTCTGACCTCGTTTTCTTTAAAAAAAAAATGCTTGCTTTCTATTCTAATGCTTTCATATTTTTCAATATCTTTTCTGTGCAGGACTATAATGATGAAATTAGGCAAGCACAGCTCCAGGAATTAACATATCTGAATGGAGGTTCAGAAAATGCAGATGTTCCAGTGGTTCGAGGGAAAGCTGCTTTGCGCACACGAGGTGTGACCACACCAGCAATAACCAGGTGGGTATACTTCCTTTCTGTTTTAGGTTACCTTAAATGTTGCTGTCATTAGTAAATAGAAATAGTTGTCAGTGTATCTTACAAACTGGCATTCAGACGTTGTGATGTCGAGTCATGAGACTAACTTTGGTGTGAGAAAGTTGAATCTAAACATATGTATCCCATACAACTTCCTAGCTGGTAGTTGTTGCATGGTTTTATTCATCCCAGCACAGATTCTATAATTCCCTGCAATGGAGCTTCTTTTTAAGTCACTGGCAATGGCACTATGAGAAGAGGATACCCTGTATTGTGTACTGACTGACTGTGAAGATACCCTGTGTGTGTCCTAACTACTCCATATTGGGCTGTTCCCTGCCTCACAATGTCAGTCAGTGAGAGGCTCTAAAATGCCTCAGCCTTTGTGTCCACCATCCAAGACCTGGGGCTGCTGAAAACTCCTATGCTGGCATGTCGATACAGGGATTTTATTTCTATCTCTGAACTGATGATTAGTTTATAATAGAAAAAAATATTTCAAAGAAATTTGAAAAATGTGACATGGCTTTATAAAAAGAATTAAAACTTTTCGTTAATGAAGTTTTCGGGGACAGTGTTTCTGAGTTCTGGGAGTACAGTCTGCACCATCATCCCCAGCTAAACTTTTCTACTCAGCTGGTAACTACATTGACATTTTTTTTTTTCAGATAGAATATGTGCTAGAATTTAAAATAGCATTTATTTTATATCTCCCCATTCATTTGGGGAATGAAAGTACATCCTGGATGGGCTAACCAGTGGCTGTTTGTGTGCTGTGTTGTAAGCCAGGCCTGGGCATGAGCACTGTGGCTCCTGCAGAAAAAGAGCTAAGCATTGCTGTGGATGGGTCTGGGAGTCTCATCACAAAGGAAATGGAAATGTTCATTTCCACTTTTTGGCCTTGCTTGAAATACTTACTTGCTATAGTTTCCTGTAGCCACCATGACTAATTGTCACAAGTAAGGTATTTGTTAGGTAGAGATATTTTTGTTTTTTGTTTTTTGTTTTTTTCCTCACAGAAACAGAAGCCCTGATTCCCAATTCAGTGTCGTTAAGCCTAGGGTGAAGTTTTGGCAAGGAGTAAATCCTCGCCTTGTCTCTTCTGTTCCTGGTGACTGCCAGCGTTTTATGATCTTTGGCCCCAGTCGTTCATCCCTCTGCCCACCTTCACAGAGTCTGTTCCTCTTCTGTCATTCTTCTTTGTCTCCCTTTTGTATGGGGTATATGACTGTATGGAGGGCCTCATCCTTCCACCTGGAGATTCCATCAGGCCCTCTCTCACAATTACCTGCACAGGTGACATGTACAGATTCCCAGGATGTAAACAGCAGGATTGTGATTGGCCTGACATTATCCAGCCTACTGCAGTTGCTATGCTAGTTTTATTTTCACATGATGGAAGCTAACCATTTGCACTATGTCAGATGCAAAATAGTTGGTAGTTAGGTATTTTTGAAAGTCTTCCACCTTGGCCTGTCCATTTGTTACCACTTCCTGCTGCCTGTTGCCATTGGGACAGATAATATGTTTTGTGCTGCATATTACATGTGCAGATGCAGACTTTCCTTTTGGACTGGAATGTCTTGTTCAGATTTTCACTTTAAAGAAAGTATCTTAAAGAAAATATCACTTTAAAGAAAGTATCAGATGAGAAACAGCCCCCCAGAATGCTCCTTTGCTTCCAGGTAGATAGATGTGAGATGTGGTCCTGTAACATGAGATTGGTTTCATTAGATTATAATGCAGCTAAAACAAATTTTATAGTTTAACTATGTGGTAACCATGGTAACAGTGATGTAAACAAGCTATTGTGCTACCCTTCCTGTAAAAGAATATGCCCAGCACGCAGAAGGTTCTGTTTTCTAGTTTATGTGAATGCACACCAACCACATCTAATGGATTCCTTTGACTAGCCACCATTGAGTGATGTACGACCACATGTAGATACAGATATAGATACCACCGTGTTGGAATATAAGTCTGAAGTATTCTTTTGAGTGATACAAAGTGAATTAACTATACAGAAGTGCATCTGATACTTACTATATGTATAAAAGTATATAATAAAATTTATTTTGTTGCGTATAGCTCTTGCATATCTCATGGTCAAATAGTGGCTCAGAATGAGCCTCCATTGGCTGGAGAATGTCACAATGGAGCACACTCAGTGCCAGTGTATGTTAACTCAGTGTTCCTTAAATCATCAACAGTTTCTAATTTAGTCTTTCTGTGGAGGTGGCAAGGTTACCAAGAGGTGAGGTAGAGAGACACTTTCTTTATTATAGAATGTAACAGTTGGAGAAACCCCTTCTTCTGCCCATGGTTATGGCATGTACACTGCCTTTCATTTAAAGCTATCACCAGTTGATTGGGACTCAAACTTATCTTGAGTTTTCTTTATAACAAAAGATGAAGAAAGTCTGGAGACACAATGTCTAAATGTGAGAAAATCATGATACAAAGCTCCAAAGAGCACAGTCCCTGATGAACAGTACTGTTCAGTTCTTGAATGAGATCAAGGTGTCAAGCCTAATCTCAGAAGCCAGACTGGTCTAAATAGTGGGTTCTTTGCCAGCTAGGGCTACATAGTGAGACCATGTCTCAAAAGTTTTAAAAAATTGTTATGATAATAGTAATATTTTAATGGCATTGCGAGATTTGGGGGTAGCTTCCTCAGGAGACGGTTCTTACAACCATCTTTTAGTTTCTTATGTTTCTCAAACCAGATGTATCTCATCTACATCTTCCTTGTTTATTCCCTATGACATGGCAAATTCATAAAACCCTTGTGTCCCATGTGGTAATCTCTCAGCACTGACCACTTAAAACTCTTGCTCACGTATTTCTTACCTGATTTCATGGTAAAGTTTGCAGGGCATGTGCCTCATGGAGCCACTCTGGAGTCTCAGAGTAGGACACATTGGTTCCTAGAAGGAACCAATCGTCCAGCATTGCCTCAGCATTACTATTTCAGGGTACCTGTCTGATCCTGAATGCATCGGAAGTTAAATCATACAGGAGGAAGTAATAATGCTATAATACAACTTTTCCGTTTTCATTGCAAAGAAAAGAACAAAGCTCATTCTTTAACACAGATAATGTCTTTCCCCATAGTCTTCCTGTGCACTGCCTCACTCCAGCTGTGATTCAGGAGAGTCCAGATGAGAACCGGGGGAGCATCATAAATGTAGGGGTATGAATACTGCAGGAAGCACATCTTTGTTTCATGCATTTACTCTGCATTTGCAGGTTGCTGTGGAGAGCTGACCTAGAAGTTACAGATCCTTCATGGATGCCTGCTTCTGTTTCCTTAAGCCTGTTTTGTGTTGGTCTTAGGTGGAACTGTTTTGGATCTCTGCTTTGCTCTCATGTGTTTGCAGGCAATTTTAAGATCTCTCCGAATCTCAGTTTCCTTCTCCATAGATGAACAAGATAGGACCCATTCATGTTAGAGTCACATTTGCTGTCATTCTGGAATGGCATCATTTGTGTGGTTTCCCAGAAGTCAGAGATTCATTGACTGCAATGAAGAAATTAAGCTCTGCCTTGGATATTCCCATTCTGAGTTGTGCTATCTGCATAGACAAATGTTTAGTTGCTGTGATTTACTTTGTTTGTATGGCTCTTGGTACATTTTATGGAAGTGTGGAACATTGACTTGTCTAAGATGTCAGTGTGTGTAAAGAATAACGTGATAAAACATGACAGATAATGCTAATTTGGCCCTCTTACTTACAGGGGAAGAGGAGGAGTCGCAGCCAGGCCTGTTGCAGTTGGGGTACCACGTGGGACACCAACTCCCCGAGGAGTCCTTTCCACCCGAGGGCCAGTGAGCCGGGGAAGAGGACTTCTCACTCCCAGAGCAAGAGGTGTCCCCCCAACTGGATACAGACCTCCACCACCACCCCCAACGCAGGAGACCTATGGAGAGTATGTAAGTGAAGGCTGCAGCTTTCGAGTTCATTCACTGCAGACAATGTGTCATAGTTGTGTTCTCTTGTTGACCTCCTCAGCTTAGCAGATAGTTATCGAACATTAAAATCACTTAGCATAGAAATTCCAAAGTATAGGCTCGGTTTTGTCAGAAGCTTGAAACTAAGGCAGAATTTCAGTTGTGGGGAATGCAAGACAGGGTCAGGCAAATAGGTGTTAAGTTCTTCCATGAGCTGACTAGAACATTCTCTTATATTCCATCTCAGGTTGCCTCTGAGTAAGTCAGTCACTCAAAAACTGATTGCCTAAATATACCAAGATGGTGTCACCTTTAAATGTGTCATTTTAATGTGCTTAATAAAGTATAGGTTTGTCGTGAAAAATCTTTTTAGTGAAGAAAATTAAAATTATGTATTTTTGCATCAACCAGTTTTCTTTACCAGTTCATGAGTTCTCAGGTATGGTTTATATTTAAGGAAAGAGAAAGGAATACAACTGTAAACATAGGACAGAGGGAAGGGACTCACTAAGGATGCCAACCCCCAGGATTCTTGGTATAGTCTCCTTGCTTATTACAGGTGAGAACATGAGAAGTCAGTAGATGCATCATTCCTGCCAGCAACTGTATGTACTAAACAAGAGTGCATGGGCAGTTGTCAATGGCAGCAGTGATGAGGATAAGATATGCTAATGGCTCTTACTTGCCTGCTTTATGAAGGTGCTGGGTTCCTCTTTGCACAGTTTCTCCAAGGTTGCAGAATCCTCTTATAATTTTCATCTGTGGCTGCTTTGCCTTGTAAAGGACATAACTGAAATTCCACAGTCTGTCTTCTTATGCTTTTGGCCTAGACTGCCCTTTCTATATCATCTGCCTCCTTTTCTGCTTCTACATAGGTCAGCTGTTGCTGGAGAAGCTCATGGAGGCAGTTGCTGAGCTGTTGAGCTCTGAGCATTACCACTACTGTTAGTGTCTCCCCCACCTAAACTGAGCATGTGGCAGGGCAGGGATGGGCAACACTTGGCCCCTTTGACTTAGCAGAGAGTCCTGTGATTATACTCAACAACGCTGTCAGCCCATATCAGAGTCTCTGTTTTGCTACTCAGTTGTGGAAGGATGTGGCTCTTTGCCCATTTTTTATCTCCTAAAATTACTTGTTTTCCTGTTTCTTTATGTTCTTGTGGAACAGACCGTGATGGCCATGCTTCGCGTTCTTCCACAAATACTGACTCTTTCAAAACAAGTAGGGACAACAAAGAGAAGAAGTGCTCTTGCAGTCCCTGTGGGAGCATGTTGTGAGTTGCTTTACTCCCACCAGCTTACCTCGACCGCTCTCAGACCATCACGGCTGGATGATGTTCTAGAAATTGCTAGGTAGGGGTTGTGGGAAATTGGATCATGGAATTCATTTTGTCCTCCATTTGGAATGAGTTAAGCAATTTGACACCTATTTGCTGGTTTCAGAACCACATGTTTAGAAAGTTATTGTCACCTTTCTGTGTCCTAATTCATCCTTACACTTAATAAGGACTGCTTGAGAGCTGTCTATGTGAGCTGGATCCATGTTCCTGGCCTCATGTGTGTATGCTGGTCGGCCTAAAAACCAGATGAGTAAATCTAAACATTTGTTGCCCAGAGTAGGAAAGTAAAAGCAAATTAGACATGTGTTTTTGACCATCATTCAGGAGTTTGGGGGTGTGTGTGTAGGGATGGGGGTGATGGTTGCCTGTAGCTCTGAATTCTGTTCAATTTTTGATAATGAGGAAATAATTAGACCAATCAAATTGGTGAATTGACAAATAACTATTATCCTGAGTGAATTTACTCTTATTTAGCCTCAACTGCCATGATAACCCTTCAGAACGTTACTTGATTCATTTTCAGGAGCAAAGATTGAAGCATTGTGAGGGAAAAAGAAACTGTCATTATTTATTGAGCCCTGCACTCACACCTGGCTCTCCAGGGTACTTGAAGCTGTGATTTGCACATGGGCCAGTGTTGATTCTGTGCGTTAGAGTTGCATTCTGATTACTGACAGCTACTTTCTCTTTATTGCTTTCATTTGCGTGGGGGTATTAGCTCTAACTCCATGCACTTGGACTTCCCAGCCCACATCCAGGAGGAATAGCAGGAAACAAAGCTTTGGCATAGGTGCACATCTTCACCAAGTGATGCCTACTATGAAGGGCTCAGACTACACATATGATCGTTTACTTTCACATCTGTTACTCATTGGAATACCCTTTCCGATTAATAGCCAAACTGAAGGATTTTCCCACTTAGCCTAGCCTTTTGTAATCCTTTGGCACAGCTGATGTAAAATGCTCCACAGCTGTATATTGTAATGTTTACATCACTGATGGCCGCTTCAGGGAGGAGTAAAGGCCTCCTCCCTTCCCATATTGTAGCTTGCCTTAACCTCATCCTGCTGTCTTGACCCAGCGGGAACTTAACGTCCTCTTCCAGAGACACAAGTGCAGCTTGGTAGTCTCTGACATGTGTCCGGATATTGGCCATTGGTCTGAACTGTTTGAAATCCTGATGGTTAGTTAGTGTTTAGCTTTCATCATTGAATGCATAGGGTGTATTACTGAAGCAAAACGAATGCACAGCCCGAAACTTTGTTTCTTCATGATTTAGATAGGATAGGAATAGTACAAAATACCAAACTTCACACCCCAGGGCCCTGAATATCAAGAAAAGGACTTTTTCATCTTAGAGCACATATAATGGCTAAGCTTCCTAGGATAGCCAAGCTGTTTCAGTGCAGAGGAATAACTTCTAACCTCTGAGGGGATTGGCTTCTTCCTCTCCCCCTACTCACCTTCTTTAAGTTGCCAACTGCCGCCTGGTACTGAGGCCTCTGTGACTCACAGTTGTTGATGTGTTTCATGAGTTAGCATCTAGCTGTGTAGTGCAAACATCCGTGTTTACCTGCCTTGGAAATCATTAGCTTTCATGAGAGAAGCCACATCCTTATTAGTTTTTCTCTAGCCACTGGCACCAGTTTTTGACACACTCTTTAGGAATTTGCTAGCAAAACTGCCTTAGTGAGCAGGGTAACTTTCCTTAACAGAGGTTACCACTGACTTGATTAAGTGCAGTCTGTGTCCCTTTCTACTTTCATTACTTACCTGTCTTATGTCACTTTAACTTGGTAAATGAAATAGAGAACCATGAGGATAAGGATTAAAACAAACCAGTAACCCAAAATAAATTTTAAAACTCTTTTTGCTTTTTTAAGGAGATCAGACCATCCCTATTTCTGAGAAGTTCTTCTGCAATTGAGAAATGTAAAATCTAAAGATGTCCTTGAGGCTGGGGACTTAGCATATTTGCATAGTGTACATGCAGCCTCAGATTTGATTCCTGACTCTACAATGGAAAAAAAAAAAAATATTTCCACAACTCTTGTTTGATTGTATTTAACCAGCCCAGATTACTTTTTAAAAACTGTTTCAGCATTTATTGTTTCAGTGATTATTTCTAAAGTATATATGGGGATAGGGTGAAATCCTAACACATGCTTTGTTGAGAAAGCCTGTCTTGGATCCTTGAGACAGTGCATCTTCCTCATAATATTCTAAAATAGAAAGGTATTCTCATACAATTTAAGGCCCAAGAAAGACTCAGTTAGTGGGCAGGCTGTCATTGATTTTGCTATGCAGTGAACTCATTGAAAGCACGTGGAAATCTGAGGATGCAGTCCTGTTAAGTGGGATACAGTTTTCCCTAGATGAGTGGTGGAGAACTGCGTCTTCTGTAATGCCTCTGAGCCCAGAGTTTTCATCACTCGTCACAATCACTGAGGAGTCTCCCATTCAGTCCTCTAGAAGAATGTCTGCTGGGTCATAGTGTATGTGACTGGGATTACCATGCCCGAGAGCACAGGTGGTGGGCACAGGCAGGAGCCGTGGGCAGAGCTGGCTACCGTGCTCAAACCAGAGCCTTCCCTTGAGTAGACTTTCATTTAACAAATATTCCAGGAAAGCATAGTAGTTCACCATTGTTATTTTTTTTCCAAAATTGCAGAAAATATGTAATTTCTGTGTTTTCAGTCTTTAGTATACACCAGGGCCTCACACTCTGCTTCAAGGTAGAAAAATCAGCCATAATTACAGTAACCCCACATCTCTTTTTCTGGAGAACAAGAAGTTCCTTTCTCCCAGTGATACCAACTTATTTCTTATACCCAAATAATTACATAACTGAAAGCTTAATTAGTGTAACCTACAGTGTTTTCACTGTGAACATTTTAACAATTCGAAGTGTGATCACACAGGAAGACAGGCCTGACAGAACCCAGTATTCCTGCAAACTGGGGGCATGCTGCTTTTTGCTCACAGTAAAAGAAAACGCGCATGTGAGCAAGCATGCGTCCTTGCTATGTATGGCAGCTACATTTATGTCCCTGAAGGACCTTATCAGTTATCTGCAACTGACAAAACTGCAAGAGGGAGAGGCTCTCTTGGTGCTGCTTTTATAGAAGTTTTTCTTCTGTTTGCACAAGCTAAGCACCCTCTGTGAAGTGCTGGGAGGAGGACACCGGTCAGGGTCACATTCACGCTGGTAGCTAACTTCACTTTTGCTCCATGTGTGTGGGTTCTTTGCACACCAAACTCTGGGCAATAACTGGTGTCTTACAGTTTACAAAGGTTCTGCACAATTTCTCAAAGTTATCATAGATTCAGCAGCTCACCCCTACCTCACTGTCTCCTCCATTTCAAAATCCAGTTCCATCCAAGTAAGCAATGTCTCTGGTTCCCCACAGTTTCTCTCTGACATGGTTAAGTTCTTAAAGTGTTCAAGTTGTCAGGGGAACTCTGACTCGCTGACCTGTTACCAATTATTTATTATTGCAAATTGTTACTTTGGGCATAAGTGATAACCCTGCTTTAAAAGAAGTAACCATTTATTTGGAACCAAATACTTGGGACCATGAAAGGATGGCTGTGAAGCATGAATTCAAGTCACCCTGCCTGACATGCAGCAATGACAAAATT